GTAATTTAAAAGTTACATGGAATTGGCAGGAATTACAAATTGCATGTAAGCAAATGGGGAGTCAACTCTGGGATGGAGAGATGACCCAACTTGGGTTCCTAGCACTCACGCCTGGCACCTCACAATCATTTAGCTCCAGAGGATCTGATGTCCTCACAGACCTTCTCAGGTGTGAACTCGGACACACACACACACACACACACACACACACACACACACACACTAAATCTTAACAGAAAAAACAACAGAATAAACACCCTATTTTCTAACTCAGGTAGATGGAGGAATAGAGTCATTTAGGAAAGGGGCTTGAGGAGTTGTCATTGTACACCAATCTTTCCGGTAAAAAATAATGTGATAACTTGAAAGCAAGATATTGGTGGGCCTGAAAGACAAGGGAAGTCTCCTCAAAAGGGCTTTCAATGACATTTCAGTTATGAATCTATGAGTTACTTTCTTTTTTTCGTTCTGTATAGTTTTTTCCTTGCCAGTCTCCTGCGCCCTGCCACTCTGAACCCCCAAATAACACACAGAACACTATATTATGAAGCTGTTGGCTGTTTGCTTGATTTCTTACTGGCTAGCTCTGACTTAAGTATTTAACCCATAACTGTTAATCTAAGTATTTCCCTTACCGGATGAAAGGGCCCGGACCTCTTATTCCTCTGGTGCCTACATGGTGTCTCCCTCTGCCTCTCTTTCCCAGAATCCTCCTTGACTCCTAGTCCCAACTATCTTGCTTCCCTATTAGCCAACAGTGCTTTATTCAACAACCAATAAGAGACAGATTTACAGAATCACATCCCCTATCATCTTCCTTTTTTTTTTTTTTTCCTGTTTTCTCGAGATAGGGGTCTGTGTAGACCAGGCTGGCCTTGAACTCAGGTATCTGTCTGCCTCTGACTCCAGAGAGCAGGGATTAAAGACATCTACTACCATGGCCTGGACATTTTTTTTCTTGTAGTGCTCAGGATCTAATCTGAACCCTTGTGTATGCTGGGCAAGTGTTATAATAGTGTTACACTCCCAGCCCACCGTATTTAATAATTGAGAGTGGCATATGGTAGTTATTAGAGCTATCCACAAATATCCCAATTCTTCCAGGGAAAAACTAGTACTACAATCCCCTCACTTATGAAGGTGAGTGGTGCTGCTATGACAAGGACTATACATTGACTGTATCTCCATTTTGGTACCTCAGATGCTGAGTAAATTGCCAGGAATTGTACGGAGAAACCTGAGAAAAGCAATCCCCGGAAGAGAAAAACTCAAGGATGAGGGCTCTTTGAAAGGTTGCCTGACCTCCCTATTTTTGCGAATTGAGTATTTTGTCTTTTGTGACTATCTGCTTGCAGTTGTGGGAAAGGAATCTTGGGGACTTTTCAACCAGGATATGGTTTTCTTGCTTAAATATGGACTCCAGGAAAGGTTGATGGCTGTACTTGAGTTCAGAATACCCAGGTACAGTCACCAGCCAGCTGCAATAAAGACTTCCAATTGGCTCTTAGGCTGTCTGAGTGGTCTTCTCTGGTGGGAGCCCCGAAACACTGCAATTAGCTTGGTCCAATAAAAACAGAAGACACATGTCAGCTTCAGGTATTTCCTAACCCCTCTCTCTGACCCCACCTGTCTTGTTCTGTTTCAATGGCTGACAGTGTTCAACTCTGCTCTGGAAGGCTAGACTGACATTTAGCACAAGTTTCAAGCTGTTAGCCTTTTAAAAACTAGAACAAGGAGAACCAATTTTTGTTTCTGACTCAATCAACCAAGGAAACTTCTCAAGCACTCATCCTACAAACCCAATTGCTTGGTGACTTTGTCCTCTCCACACAGCTTCCATCTTGTAGTTGACACCATCAGCTCCGCACTGCTTGTATCTCTCACCTAGGCCTCTGCAGCCCCTTCCAAATCCATGCTGTAGGCCTTACTTGATGTTCTTTCAAACTTGCTAAGCTACTGACGAGCTGGCTACCTGCTCTCTCAGCATTTTCTCTAGTTGACTGCCAGCTTTCAGCTCAGCTGTCTCCTCGGGTTAGGCTACTCTTGACTACCCAGGACAGATGTACTGAACTGCCAATGCTTCTTATGTAATTTAAAGGCTGCTACTGCCTTGAGTCAGCTTTTGGGATAGACTAGGTTCCTTGAGGACAGAGATAAAGTCTATTTAAGGCTCTCAATGTACATTATTCCTAAGTGATTAATAGTTTTTTTTTTGAAATTTTATAAGTGTTTTGCTTGCATGTATATATGTGCACTATGTTCATGCCAGGTGCCCATGGAGTTCAGAAAAGGATATTGTATCCCCTGCAACTGGAGTTAGGGATAGTTGTTGAGACACCATGTAGATGCTGGGAACCAAACCTTGGCCCCCTGCAAGAGCAACAAGTCCTTTTTTTTTTTTTTTTTTTTTTTAACTTCTGTAGCTTTGGAGGCAGGCTGTCCTGGAACTCACTCTGTAGAACCCAGGGATCTGCCTGTCTCTGCCTCCCTTGTGTTGGGATTTAAGGCATGCGCCACTACCGCCCGGCTTACAAGTGCTTTTAACTATCTTTCCAGCAGATACACTTTTGTTTTAATTTCAAAATCCAATAGTATAGCTTTAACATTTTTCATCAAAATTTCCATTTTACAATTCATTACCCATTTATAATCTTGAATTGATGACAGCAACATAAGCAATATAAGATTTCCTGGTAGTGGGCTGGAGAGATGACTCAGCTGTTAAAAGGGTGAGCTCAAAACCAAAATATAAAATTTCCTGGTAGCTACGTTAGGTCCAAAGGCAGACACCCCGCCCCACACACCAATAAATGGCAGTGTTAGTGGCTTGTCCTACACAGGACTGTTACTGGGTAAACAGGGGCCTGAACTCTGGGTTTCTTTACCAGGCGCCTCCTTTAAACCACCAGAAACTGATCCTGCCCCAAAGATCAACCTCTGCAAGCAAGGGCATCTAATCCTGCCCAATCCTTAACAGCTCAAGACTCCCCAACCCTGTCAACACATAAAATCTGCTTGCTTTCCCCCCTTTTGCTCTTCTGTTCCTCCAATCCCTGAGAGATGGCCTTGGCAGTTTGATTCCAAATAAACCTTTCTTTCTAGCATGGAGTGGTCTATCTCCGTCCAATGTGTCTTCACTTGCAGTCACCCCCACCATGGGGTCTCATTAAGTAGTCCAGGCTGCTCTTGAAGGCATAATCCTTTGTTTCAGTCTTCTTGATGCTGGTTCAAAACTCCTTAATGGTGCCAACTCAGTATTTACGGTGTTTTTGTCATTTGTATGGAATCTGGTAGTGAGCAAGAAAATTTGTAGATCTATTCATTACAGATCAAACTTATGGAATGCTTCTAAAGTAAAAAGCTTAATTTTCTGGTCTAGATAAATGCAATGACCTGCTCTAAGAATGTTAGATTTAATACCCACATAATAATGTGTATTATTTTTAAAACTAGCCTGAAAGATGGTACTGATTTGGATGTATGTTTATTTATTTTGCCCAGAGGTCATTGTTTATGGTCATACCTTAGAATATGGATAAACCTATGAAATTTTGTTGTTGTTGTGGCCAGGGGTTGTCCCAAGATCTGGTCTCACTCTATGTATAAATCCATGACGATCCTCATTTATTTTATATGTATGAGTGTTTTGTCTACATGTATGTCTATGCGCCACATCGATGCCCAGTGTCTAAGGAGGCCACATGAGGGTATTAGATTCCCTGGAACTGGAGTGATAGAGTTACTATGTAGGTGTTGGGAACTAAACCCAGTCCAGAAGAGTAGCCAGTACCCTTAACCACTGAACCATCTTTCCAGTCCTCCACTTAAAAAAAATAAGGTGCTTTAATTTTAAATAATTTATGTATCTGTGTGTACTTGCTCAATCACATGTATACTGTGTTCACAGAGGCCAGAAAAGGGCACTGGATCCCTGGTAGTGAGATGATTGTGAGCTGACTACCAAGTGCTAGGAATCAAACTCTTGGTCCCTACAAAAAATAATGGAATCATCTCTCCAGCCAATTTTGGTTTATTGAGACCATACAGCCTAGGCCTTGAACTCTGTAGTAGCCAAGAATGACCCTAAGCTTCTGATCCTCCTGATCCCACTTTCCATTCCACACTCAACTTCCATCAGACTTTTTGGAAACTACATCATACACTGGGAAATTATTGTACACTATGATTTGAAAGGTGGTCTCTTCGGAACTAGAAGATAAGACCACTAGATGGCACTGTTGTTGCTTTCCTTAAAAAAAAAAAGTAAAAAGGATCAAAGAATCATAGTTTAGAGGACAGAAATGATCATATTGTATGAATAAAGAGCCAAGACTTTGTTTTCACTACACAGAATTTTAATGTGAAACTAAATTAAACATACAAATATACAGCAAAGCTAATGGTAAAAGCAACCTGGTAGCTTAAGGCAAGTTTTAATGGAGATGAATTTAGAAAAGATGATGCAATGATGTAATTTTAAACATAGATTATGAAAAAATATGGAACTGCATCAATAACTTAAAGTAGTTTTCAAAGCTTGCACTATCAGAGGAAAGGGGCTTATGATCTTAATGCCAGCATTAAGACAGACAGAAGCAGTGCAAGGCTAATAAAAAAAATCATTATTTACAGAAAGATGGCAACAACAAAATTTAATACCATGTGATCTTATTCACTGGTGGACTGAAAGCTCTTGGCTAGAACCAGAGAAAATGTACCACCCACATGTTATTTTAAAAAATAAAATTAAGTGCAGAGGTCAAAACAAAGGAGCTCTGTGATTAAAGTAACCTTAAAACACCCCTGTAAGGATCACTTTTAAAAGGTAATTCCCCCAGAGGAATTTAGGGCACTGAGAGTGTAAACATGTGAACTGTACAACACCAAATACCAACCAAATTCAATCATAGTACTTACTTATACAAAGCTAGCATGATCTTTTGTAACACATTATTGTTTATAATAATTCAAACACAATCCTTATCATGCACGACTTCAAATATATAACAAATATTTTTATTTTGAGATACAGGGTATTTATTTATGAATTATAAGACCTATATACAATGAAAGACACACTTCCACAATCAAGTATCTTTATATGCTTTTTAAATGCAATGACCTTATTCAGACTTTTCTGAATTGACCATGTCAGTTTTTAAAATTCTCTAAAATAATGCCATTTTATGATAAAATACATTTTTGCAAAAATTCAGAAATGTAGTTAACATTTAATGAATATGACCAAGAAAAGTATCTGTAAGCATGTGCCAAATGACTTAGCACTTTCTTCCAGTTATATTTTTAAAAAAATTGCAATTTGACACTAAGCCTATTTTAAAAATATTGTTGTTACACTGATTCATCTCAAAATGCACTATTAATAGTCCTTTTGCAAAATACCATCATATATAACTGTGAATGTTTTACCCAGAATTAATGGAAGAAAATGTATCTTCTGCACAGATGAACATTTTCTAAGACTAATCTTCATCACCCAATATTGTTTCTACAAAAGCATGCAATACAAAATACACATGAAAGCAGCTATTTTAATACAATTTACCTTTATAGCTGATTCATCACTGCCTCCAGTTTAATATGCTGTTACATAGGAGAAGTTCCAGTATCCTTTTTCTGATTGACTTAAAAAAAAAATCCCTGAATAAAACAGAAGCCAGTCTGTGACTTCTTTGGGCATTTCTGTAGAACATTATCACCTATCGAGAATACCTCTACCCAAACGCATGACGATAGAATATAACTTGAAACAGATTTGAGACAAATAAAAATTAAAATGTTTATGTTTAAAAGGGCAAGAAAGGTTGAGTATTAGTATTTAAAAGGATACTGTGACTTTAGCAACTGTAAACTTTTGTTTTAGGAGGCTGTGACAGACAGCTCTATGCCGCTAGGTTTTAGCTTGTAAAAAATGCGAACACATATTCATTTGTAAAATGGTGTAGAATACAAAAAACACAAAATGATATGGAGAAAACAAACACAAACAAAGAACGCTTATTAAGGAGGAAAGCTGTATAACCAACTCGTCTGAAAGTACAAAATAATTTTAAGCAACTGCTGAAGAAAACCCTGATACAAATTTCAATTTCTTATCTTGCTTTTAAATGACATGAACTTTAAAATTAAAATGGAGAAAGTAGATACTTTCAACCCAACTAAAATAATGCCAACAAGATAAGCTTGCATAGAAAAAAATTTCAAATTATTACTGGCTACATGTTTTAAAAATCAGAAATGCAGATATTATAGTGCAAAACCATGGCAGCTGATGATGTCTTTTACTGCCTCAGGTCATGAAATATACTGTAGTACCTCCAGTTATCACAGTTTCTGGTCGCACAATGAGTTGGGTATACCAACTAGAAGCAGTGTGTATGTAGAGATGGGTGGCACATGTGCTGTGCTCATATTAACGAAGCTTGAGATCATCACCACCACCTAAATTGGAACCAGGACTAGGGTCTTGTTGTCTTCTTGCCTGCAATGACAAAATTGTAATATGAAGTCAAGGATGTGGTTTGAAAACTTAAATGATACACATATAAGATATATGTATTATACAACAGGTGGTCATACAATTAAAACTATATCTAACATTTTATAATAATCATTTTATATTCAAAAGGATAAAGGAATACTACATATAAAAGAAAAAATATGACCTACTTTTAGAACCATAGGCTTAACTTTACTACATCAATATAGTCAATCATCTTAAAGCAAACTTTCCCTTTTAGTAATAGCCGATATTTAATAAGCAACAATTACATGCTAAGTACTGTCTGAAGCACTCTCCATGAATGAACTAAATATAAATAGTTCCCCAAAACCCACATAGGTACCATTATTTCTCCCATTCTATAAAGAAATTGAGTGGCTGGGCATGGTGGCACACACCTGTAATCTCAGTACTCGGAAGGCAGAGGCAGGTTATCTCCGTGAGTTTGAGGCCAGCCTGGTCTACAAGAGAGTTCAGTGACTTAAGGCTGAGTATAATGACACACAGAATTAGACCCTGGCACCTGGAAGGCAAACAGACCAAGAGTGTAAGGTCAGGGACCTAAACAAAAGAGATCTTGTTTCAAACCCAGTTATTAGAGAAAGAACATTCTTGACCTTCCCAATATGGTTCAAGTCTCATTTATACTGTAAGGTCAAAGTTTATTTTTTAGTGCTAGGCATCAAAGTCAGGACCCTGCTAAGAAAGTCTTCTACAAAAGAGCCACAATCAGCCCTAAGGAAGGTTTATAACCAGCCCTATGGGTGGGTTTGGTTAGACAGTCAGAGCTGTGTTATTAAGAACATTATGTTATTTGTACAACTGCTTGGTGTAATGGCACTCTAGAAGCAAGGCAGGCAGATCTTATGAGTCTGGGGCCAGTCTGGACTACTCAGCAAGTTCCAGGCCAGCCAAGAGACACTGTACTCAAAAAACCAAAACTAAAAAAGAAAAATAACCCCAAAGTCAAATAACCACAACAAAAAGACAGTTTGCTTTATTCACCCCTAAACAAAACAAAATTCAACAATATCTACTTCGTAGCAGATAGATTTAAGCCATTTTTGTCAGCAGACTTCTCACAACTCAGTTTAGCCTAACCCTTTTCAGTTAGAATACTCCAGGTAATATTACACTGCATAGCCAGTTGAGATTAAAAAGCTACGGGTGCCCAGGCACCAGAAAACCAATTTATGCCCCACCCCCAATCAATACTAAGTGTTTTATAAAGACCAGTCAATTCTGCAGCAGCAGAGACTGATATAGGAATTTGGTCTCAGTCAATGAAGGTCAGAAAGGGGCTGAGCAATGAAGAAACTAAGGAAAATCAATCCCAATTATATGTTAATGTTGGGCCCCAGCCCCATGGGGTCTCTGTGAGTTGCTTGTCAGCCAATAACCAAAGGTGAATCCTGTTTTCTAGTCCTGGCTTACAGCCCCGGGGCCTTGCCCCACTAGCATCAACCTCTAATGAAAACACGAGCTCTTACACCTGGGGTTTCTCCACTGTGCTGTAAGTCTGTATATAAGACTGCTCCCTCCTTGCAATAGACATAGACATACAGACATACATACATACAGTCTCTCTCTCTCTCTCTCTCTCTCTCTCTCTCTCTCTCTCTCTCTCTCTCTCTCTCTCTCTCTCTCTCTCTCTCTCTCTCTCTCTCTCTCTCTCTCTCGGACTGACCATCGCCATCACCAAAAAGCCAAAATCTAAAACCCTTTGGTAAAATATCTTTGTGTTTCAGTCTAAAATTAGACTAAGTCTACTTAAAAGGGATTCCAGACACATTGTGAGTCAAATACTACATTCCATTAGTCTACATTCAAAATCGCCACCAGATACTACTAAGGATCAAAGAGATCAAGCAACTTTTTAAACTGTCAGTGCAACTGCAACTACAGATAGAACTAGCATTAAAATGAGGTGTCTAAGGCCAAGCAGTGCTGGCACACCTCTCAATCTCAGGCAGGCTGACATCTGAGTTTCAAGGCCAGCCTGGTCTATAGAGCAAGTGCCAGGACAGGCTCCAAAGCTATAGAGAAACCCTGTCTCAAAAAAACAAAACAAGAAAATTCCCCAAAACAACAACAACAACAACAACAACAAAAAACAAATGTCTATTACAAATTGCAGTAGTTTGAATGAGAATGGTCCCCAGAGGGTATTGTCTGAATACTTAGTCTCCAATTGATAACTGGGATGATTAGGAAGTGTGGCCTTCCTGGAAGTCTATCACTGGGGATAGGCTTTAAGGTTTCAAAAGACTGCTTCCTACTTTCTGACCAAGATGTGAGCTCTCAGCCATTCTTGCTGCTATGACTTTGCTCTACTCTTTGAAACCAAAAGCTAATTAAAAACTTTCTTTTGTAAGTTTCTTGGTCATGGTGTGTTACAACTATAAAAAAGTATGCTCATTCTACACACCAAAGGTCTTCAAGTAATCTACATCATCTGGGTTCCCTGAAAACACTCTAGGAACGCCAAAGGATGACCAACAATCCCTACTTTTGCTTTGACTAGAGTCTCTATTTTATATATTGGGACACAATACAAAATTTCAAATGAAAAAAGATTTTTTACTGTTTTAAAAGTAGCTTGTTGGGCTGGAGAGATGGCTCAGAGGTTAAGAGCACTGACTGCTCTTCCAGAGGACCTGAGTTCAATTCCAAGCAACTGTATGTTGGCTCATAACCATCTATAATGGGATCTTAAAAAAACAAAACAAAACCTTAAAACAACAACAACAACAAAAACCCGTCAGGTATTGGTGGCGCATGCCTTTAATCCCAGCACTTGGGAGGCAGAGGCAAGTAGATCTCTTGAGTTCAAGACCAGCCTGGTCTACAAGAGCTAGTTCCAGGGCAGCCTCCAAAGCCACAGAGAAACCTTGTCTTGAAAACAAAACAAAACAGGAAAACAACAACAAAAATCCCAAAACCCAAAATCAAACCAAACCAAACCAAAAAACCCAAAAAGCCAGGTGGTGGCACATGCCTTTAATCCCAGCACTCAGGAGACAGAGGCAGGTGGATCTCTGAGTTCGAGACTAGCATGGTTTACAGAGCAAGTTCCAGGACAACCTCCAAAGCTACAGAGAAACCCTGTCTCGAAAAACAAAAACAAAATAAAAAAGTAGCCTATTTACCACAGGGTGTGGTGGCATATGCCTATAATACAAACATTTGGGAGGCTAAGGCAGGAGGATCAAATGTTTGAAACCACAGAGTTACTATCAATTCAGTAAAACAAAGACAGCTTATATGCTAGTACACACAGATAGAAATGAAAGAATCTTCTGTTTTTATTATTCTGTTTTATGCTAAGAGCAACTTTTCCATTTTTTAAAAAAGATTTATTTTATTTTGATTTATGTTTTGTCTGTGTCTGTACATACACATGCATGTTAGTTCCGATGGAGGCCAGAAGGTGGTGCCAGATCCCCTGCAGCCGGAGTTACAGATTGTTGTGAGCCCTCTAACCCCCAAGCAAGCTACTGAAAACCAAACTCCAGTCCTCTGCAAGAGCAGTAAACATTCTTAACTGCTGAGCCACTTCTTCATACCCCTAAAATCAAATTTTCTTTCTTTCCTAAATAAGGAACAGATGCAGGTGATAACAGACGCATAAAGTACTAAGGAAGTTAAACCCTACATTTAGGGAAAAAAATATTTTAAATTGTGTGAATTTGTAGACATTAATGCAGGTGCCCAGGAAGGTCAGAGGCATCTGGAGTTAAGAGGTAGTTGCTATGAGCAGCTATCATACCATGGGTGCTGAGAATAAAAAATCTGTAGGAACAGTTACCTTTCTTAATTGCTGAGCCATCTCTTTCCTACTCCCTATGATTATTTACGGGTATGTGCATGTATCCACGGAAGCCAGAAGAACACATCAGATACCCTGGAGCTAGAGTTTGTTGGGAGCTGAATTTGGGTCCTCTGCTAGAGCAATCTGTACTTTAAATACTGAGCCAATAGCTATCCATTTTGCCACCTATCCCCCACATCTGGTTTCCATCTTCAGTTTCTTATGTCACCTACTATGCATGTCTTAAAAATACTTAGACATAATATTTTGTACTGTTAGTATCTCATTTTATTTTAAGATTATTTAACAATATATAGTTAAGGCTACTAAAATAAATATTTTGCCAGTTCATATATTACTTGCCAAGTCAATTAAAAGGTAGACAAAATATTGTACTAGTGAAAGCCTCTTCCTAAAAAGAAAAAAGCTGGGTGGTGGTAGCACACACCTTTAATCCTAGTGTTCCAGAGGCAGAGGCAGGTGGATCTCTGTGAGTTTGAGGCCAGCCTGGTCTACAAAGAGTTTCAGGACAGTCAGGTCTACACAGAGAAACCCTATCCTGAAAAACAAAAACAAACAAAAGAGGCAGCAAAAAAAAAAGAATTGTTAAAGCCTATCATGAATGATGAATACAAAAGTCAACATTTTACAGATGTCAAACTGGAAGCATGTATAAGGAGTCTTACACGAGGAATTTCATATAAAGACAACAGTGAAAACTGAAAAAACCTTAACCCACCAACCCCTTGAAGTTCTGCTTTCCACCAACAGAATATTAACCTTAAGTAAGTATTTAATGCTCATGACCAGTAATTATCATTACAACTTTAATATGGCAAGGCTAGAGATTTCAGAAGTTATTCAAGCAGTGGTAGTGCTGCCAAAAATCTCAGGCTTCCAAAGATCATTACCCATGAATGCCACCCACGAGTTACCACTGTTCCCTGGCCTTCGTTCCCAGTCAGGCATCAGGACCACCCACTAGAACTAATATTATTCTTTTCTGTCTCAGCCTTTTCTATTCCAGGGAAAATGATTTCTAATGTCCTCTGGCAGACTTTATTATTCAGTTCAATCATCTTTATTTCCTATTGCTAGACTATATTTGTGCAGATGCCCTGGTTAGAAGACTATGGCTTACTTCTTTGCTTTTTCTTCTACTAGTAAACTATTTGAAGGAGACAGTATGTCAACTTTTCTTGGAGTTTTAATTTTACAAACTGTTATAAGAATGAATTAGATGATATTTAATCCCTTGACTATGTGTGTGTTTTTAAGGTTTATTTATTATGTATACAGTGTTCTGTCAGCATATATGCCTGCAGGCCAGAAGAGGGCACCAGACTTCATTACAGATGGTTGTGAGCCACCACATGATAGCTGGGAATTGAACTCAGGACCTATGGAAGAGCAGTCAGTGCTCTAACAGCACTGCTCCAGTGGCATGCCCCTAACCAACACCTCCCCCACTTTTGATTAAGAGTCTCACTATGTAGTCCTGGATGGCCTGGAACTTGCTACTCGGATTAAGTTGCCCTCAAACTGCAGAGACACAGCTATCTGCCCTGTCTCCAGAGTGGGAAATCATACCCAAGATGTTTAAATTATAGGGAGGAAATGTCTTCTTTCAGTTTTTTGTTTTGTTCTTTCAAGACAAGGTTTCTTTCAGTAACATCCTGGAACTCACTCTGTAGACCAGGCTGGCCTCGAACTCACAGGTATCTGCCTGCCTCTGCCTTCTGAGTGCTGGGATTAAAGGTTTGCGCCACCAATGCCCAGCTTCACTGTTTTTTTTGTTTTTGTTTTTTAAAGATGTAAACAGTTAAAAAAAGCAAACTATGAGGAAGGACTAATAGGTAAGACAGGAACACAGGAAAGAAAGGCAAATACACATAAAGCCCACTGTTTTAGATTACAGCTCTGTAAAAGAATAATATTTCAAATTATTGCTATAAAGGACTAGAGCAGTAGTTTCCAACCTTCCTAATGTGGTCACCCTTTACCTCATGAAATTACTTTTGTTGCAGTTTTGCTATTGTTATGAATCATAATACACATATCTGATATGCAGGCTATCTGATCTGCCACCCCTCACAGGGGTCGAGACCCACAGGTTGAGAACCACTGGACAAGTGGCTCTTAAATCACTGATAAAAACTTAACCGTTTTCTCTGTCTTTAAGGTCGGAATGCTTTAGTGCCCAATACACTTTAGAGAACTAAAAGGATGCTCTATCAGCCAGACAATTCAATTAGCTGGAGCCAGCACCAGGCAGAGCTTTTAGCACTAAGGAAGCACTTTAGAGCTATTATTTCTGTGGGCACACTTGGGCTGAGCACATTAGTGTTTTCTAAGTGTTTCTCACTGAATGTGACAATTTCTGTGATAAAACTGGGGCTTGAGAGAGACTGAAGTGACTGAACAGGAATGTGAACTGGGTCTGACAACAAAGCCCAGGCTCTCAATTGCTGACTAGATAATGGAATATTCTATTTGAATGACAAATTATTTGGCATCTCTGCCAACAAGACTTTTATGCACAGCCAAATATATATAAAAAAACCAAAGTATTTTCAAGTGACAACATTTTAAATTAACAACAATACAAGAATATTTAAATTAGATAATTTGTTTTGGGCACAGTGGCACAAATTTAATTCCAGCACTAAGAAATTCTCTGACAAGAGGGTTTAAGCCAGTCAGGGCTATACAGTGAGACATGTCATATAAACAAACACTTTATATAATTATTGAACTCAACAAATATATGAAAGCTTCCTAAGTAACTAGCTGCCCCACTAATTCTCAGTTATCTCTTCAAGAATACTTGTTACTACAGAAAGACTGACCACTCTGTCTCGACAAGACCCACTTTCTGCCAAGACTGAAAGATGTGCAAAGGTATATGTCTACTGAAGAGTCCAGCACAACATGGGCCACTATGTAACCAATTAACACAAACCAACAAAGTTAACTGTCTTTTTTTTTTTTGGTTTCTCTGTGTAGCTTTGGAGCCTATCCTGGCACTTGCTCTGTAGACCAGGCTGGCCTCAAACTCAGAGATCCGCCTGCCTCTGCTTCCCCAAGTGCTAAATTTAAGTATCTTTATTAAATACTTTGCAGAAGTTACCAGTGGTGGTGCACGCCTTTAATCCTAGCACCCTAGTGGCAGGCAGAGGCAGCCGGCCTACATAGTGAGTTCCAGGACTTCCAGGATTACACAGAGAGTGCTTGCTGAAAACAAAACAAATAAAAAATAGACAAAAACAAATAACAAAACAATAACTCAGTTTTCAAACAGGTAGGATAGAACTGTTATCTGGAAGATGTTCATGTACCAAGTAAACACAATGTATAAACATTGTGGTAGATAACACAAGGGACAAAGAATAAGGATTTCCCCAGGGCAGTGGTATGTCTTTAATCCCAGCACTTGGGAGGTAGAGGCAAGTGGATCTCTGCAAGTTTGAGGCCAGCCTGGTCTATAAAGCTACACAGAGAAATCCTGCCTTGGGGGGAAAAAAAAACAAAGAAGGGGGGAAAAAAAAAGAGTAAGAGTTTAATTTCATGAAATCTCAAGGAAGGGAAGGACAGATACATTTATAGTTGTTTCAACACATGGCTCAATAAGTAATTTAACAGAAATAAGAAGAGGTGGCTGGGAGTGGCAGCACATGCCGCTACTCTTAGAACTTAGGAGCTAGAGTCAGGAGGATCAATAATTCAACTTTGATTCTGTTGATATGGTGAGTTCATCTAGTTTATATCTAGCTTGTGCTAGATGAGACCCTGTGTGAAAAGCAAACAAAATCCCAAAGCAAACAAACCACAAAAAGGGTAAGAGGGGCAAGAGGAGGAAGAATGAAAAGTGGTACAAGTCATGAGGGGAGGCAGAAAAAAAGGGAATATAAGGGAGCAAGAAATGAAGTGTCAAGGAAACTACAAAGCAGAAGCCGATTAAGAAGACCTGAGCACCTTGATGAATGGGTAGAAAAGCACAGCTCAGAGTAAAATAAGCAAAATGGTAAGAAATGCAAGATATCAAAAACTGTACAATGGGTGGTGGCATATATCTTTAGGCAGAGGCAGGCAGATCCCTTGAGTTCAAGGCCAGTTTGGCCTACAGAGTAAGTTCCAGGATAGCCAGGGTTACACAAAGAAACCCTGTCTTGAAAAACACCAAAAACAAACAAACAGAAAACCCACCCCCAACACACACACACACACACACACACACACACACACACACACACACACACACACACACACACACACACACACACGAATACTTGTGATTGTTTTGGCGTGTTACAAGCCCAGGCTCTGGAGTAAGACGAAGAATTCTGATCACTTTGCTACGTGTGATAGTAGGTTCCTTCATGTATAAAAAGCTTTAGTAATATTTTCTCAGAGTCATTGTGAGGATTACATGAGCTAATTACACATGAAAACATCTTTAAAGTATATGGCACTAATTTGATAGCAACTACTATTGTTTTCTTTTCTGTGTTTTATCTATTTTAGAATAATTCTAAAATCTAATATCAAGCCTCCTCAATGGTTACTTTGTGGAGTGAAGTGAGACACAGACAGACAGACACAATCTCTCTCCATATATATCATAATTTAAATAACAGTATACAAATTAATTTTAATGCTTGAAAAATTTTTCTAAATTACACTGTAGCCAGGTGTGGTAGTGCATGCCTTTAATCCCAGCACTCAGGAGGCAGAGGCAGGTGGATCTCTGAGTTTGAAGCTACCCAAGTCTACAAAGTGAGTTCTAGAACAGTCAATACACATACAGTGAGGCTTTTTGTTTGTTTGTTTTCAATACAGGGTTTCTCTGTAGCTTTGGAGCCTGTCCTGGAACTAACTCTGTAGACCAGACTGGCCTTGCACTCACAGAAACAGAAGGAAGTAGTTACTATAAACATTGAAAAGCAACCACTACCTAGAAAACTTGAGGTAATGGCTACTTTTGAATAGAGTGAAGTTATAATTAGATATGCAACAGAGGGGATTGTTGTGATATAAAGTTTTGTTATCTTGAAAGCAGTTATAAGGATATTAGACCTATAGTAATTCATCACACTATATATTTCTTTGTATAGATATATCTGTATTTTACTTCATTATAAATTAAAAAATATTTTAGATTTATTTTTGTGTGTATGTATCTGATGAGTATTTTGCCTGTATGTATGTATGTACGTATGCATGTATGTGTACTTGTGTGTACCTGAGATTAGAAAAGGGCACTGGATCCTTTGGAACTGGTGTTACACACAGTCATGAGCTGCCATGTGGGTGCTGGGAACCAAACCTGGGTTTTTTCAAGAACACCAAGGATTATATATATATTCTGTTAACTTCATTCTTAGAGAATTTTGAAAATATTAAGTGGTCCTCTAAAGGGCTACACAAATGACAAAATCTATTGTTTCAAAATGATGGACTAGGAATCGTGGTTCATGTGATAAACCATCTGCCTAGCCCTCCTCAGGCCTCAGTTTAATGCCCAGCACTGGGAGAGAATGACCAAAGAAACAACCTACACTGGTAATTTTCAAAACCAAGATTAATAACATAGAAAAACAGACAATAGCATTAGCCCTCTAAGGATTTTTAGTGATGTTTTGATAATGAACTATACAAGAGGGACTTTTTACAAGTAATGTATGATAGAAATTGGAGGCAGCAAGAGGCTGAACAAAGGTTTTTGAATCAATGAATTAAAAGAAAATATACCTTGTTTTAATATAAGATTTTCTTGTGAAGACCAATGAGAAATCAATACAACCTTAAAATTCGAATAATTACATTTTTACAGCAATTGAATATAATAAATTCAAACAATATATAATTTTTAAAAATAAGACAAAATCAAACTATGAAAGAACATTTTACATAAATATCACAAACATAGCCTGAGAGTTTGGGGAAAGTACTAACCAGTTACTGCCAGCAGCTGTGAAACTCTCACCTCCATTTCCTCCCGGTGAGACCTGTCTCTATCCTCAAATTCACGAGTTCTTCTTCGAGCCTCTTCGAAGGCCTGTTGTGCTAATGCATCTTCCTGCTGTTAGGGTACATGAAATTTTGATTTATATAAAAAAATTAAATTTGGGAATTTTTTAAAAAGGAAATCAACTGAAGAGTAATTCTCAGAATACTAATACCAATCACCCATCCTACCTAATTTCAGAGGTACTTTTACTTTAGAGTCGGGTTCATTATATCCTTGGCTGCTGTGAAACATGATCCTCCCTCCTTAGCCTCTCCAGTGCAGATTATGGACACGGGCCACCACATTCTAACAGGAATCTAAGCCATCTTTGATTTGTAACTCTTTTTCTTACCTCCACAGAGTGGATTTGCATACTATCTAATTTGCTTCTTACTGGAATCTTTAGTTTCCCCTTCATTTCTATAAACGGTTTTCTAATTTGGAACCCAAAGAACTCTTAGCTAGGTAAGTCTCCCAAAGACTGCTCCTGTTCCATTCTGCTACTGCACCCCTGGTCTACAGACTGAGTTCTGGACAGCCAGGACTGTTTGTTACATTGAGAAAACTTGTCTTTTTTTTTTTTTTTTTCTGCTCGGTTTTTTGAGACAGGGTTTCTCTATGTAGCAATCCTGATTGTCCTGCAACTAGCTCTGTACACCAGGCTGGCCTTGAACTTATAGAGATCTACCTGCCTCTGCCACCTGAGTGCTGGGATTAAAGGCGTGCCCCACAACCACCCATTGAGAAACCAACCAACCAAATAAACAAAGCAAGAAATAAAAAAATATAATTTCAGTGGCAATGTCTATAATTAAAGGTATGATCAAACTCCCATACTTGGGGCTGAAGATGGAGCTTAGTGGTAGAGCATTTGCCTAGCATACATAAGGCTCCGGGTTCAATCTCCAGCACCTAGGAGTGGGAAAGCACATTCTTTTTTCTTTCCTAAAGTTTTATGTATATGGGTGTTTTGCTTCATGTATTTCTATGCACTACTTGTGTGCATGGTACCTGTGGAAGCCAAAGGAGGGCATCAGATTCTCCTGGTATGGGAGTTTTCAGTTATGAGTTAATGTGAGTGCTGAGAATTTAAAGCCAGTTCTCTTAACCACTGAGCCATCTCTCCAGCCCCCAAACACTTTATTATGATATACCTACTAGTGTTAGGACCCAAGGCAAGATATTTCTCTAAGCCTCAGTAAATTCATATAGAACATAGGCATAGTAATATTTCACATCTTTGTTACAGTTACACAAGACAACGTCGCCTTAGGGTTTCCATTGCTGTGAAGGGACACCATGACCAATGCAACTCTTAAAAGGGGAAACATTTAATTGGGGTTGGCTTATAGTTCAGAGGTTTAGTCCATTATCATCATAGCAGGTGGCGTGCAGGCAAACATGGTGCTGGACAAGGAGCTGAGAGTTCTACATCTTGATCCACAGGCAGCAGCGAGAGTCTGTGTCCCATATATGTAGTATATGAGACCTCAAAGCCTGTCCTCATAGAGACATACTTCCTCCAATGAGGTCACACCTCCTAATAGTGCCACTCTCTACAGGCCAATTATTCAAGCACATGAGTTTATGGGGGGATATTCAAACTACCACAATACACTAAAAATACTTAAGACAGATTTCAATAAATGCTATTAATTTACAAGTCACACACTAAGCTGGGTAGTGGTGGCACATGTCTTTAATCCCAGGGCTCAGGAGGCAGAGGCAGGTGGATCTCTGTGAGTTCAAGGCCAGCTTGGTCTACAGAGTGAGTTGCAGAACAGGCTCTGAAGCTACACAGATAAACCCGGTCTTGAACCCCCCCAAAAGTTACACACTTTACTAAATATAATTGCTGATACCTACTATACTTTCAGAATATTCTATACAAGCCTGAGGTACCTAGAAAAGAATACTGTCCATTCCTAAGGGAATTCTACTGATACCTCAAACCCAGCGAGGTATCAACTGGGACATACCTGCTAATGGCAAGGTATCCCTTCTGTTCTGTTCATTTACTTTTTCACTTTTTCTCACAACTTTTATTACATTTAGTGCATGTGCACACATTGCAGCTTAGGCATAGAGGTTAGAGAACAATCTGCGGGGGTTGTTTCTCTCCTCCCACCACATGGGGCTTGTCGATCTCACTCAAGTCAGCAGGCTTGGTGACAAATGCTTTTACCCTGTGCCACACCTCACTGTGCCTTACTCACTTTTTCATTTACAAGTATTTGCTTAGCTTATATTATGGGCAGACCATTGTGCTTAGTGCCATGAATGGAATATGAGGCAATGTTGTTTTTCCTCATGCAGCTGCTAGGGTTAGCGGCAAAGAAGAAACATAATTAACAAATTAATAGTAATCTACTCTGATTATGTACAACAGAGGGAAGTAGGATAAAAATGAGAGTGTACACTAGCTGTAACATATTTCCCTAAGAAAGTTTTTGAAGATACAATATTTGAAATGACTGAAAAGTATGACTAATTGCTGCAGAAAAAAATGAGCCAGGAAAGAGTTGGTAGTCCTCTACTTACTAGTTCCAAATTTCTGTCATGGTCTTTTCTGTTGACAAGTGAGATGCACAGAATTCTCACTCCTAACAAACGGTAAAATGGGAAAGCTGATAGGCAATTACCAGTATCATCCCAGTCCTTTAACATTTCTCTTTTAAGGATACTACCTGCTAATAAAATTACCTGCTCACCCATGAAAGGAGACTAATGGCTAGTGACAAGTAACTTTATTCAGCCTCAGGCAATGGTTAGAGAAATTTGCAAAATTTTAGTCTCCTGGGCCATGTGTCATAATAACTTACTATTCTAGAGCCTATATGAAACCACACATAAAGTAGCTAGATGAGGTCAACATAACAAAGTTGGAGTGGGCCATGGTGGCATATACCTGTAACCCAACATGTGGGAAGCTGAGGCAGGAGGATTGTTTGAGTTTTGGAGTTAAAACACCAGCCTGAACAGTATCAGGAGTCTTCAGAAAACAACAAATCAAGGTTAGAGATGATAGAGAGCGTTGGATGCTCTTCCAGAAGACTCAGGTTTGATTCCTAGAGCCCACAGGGCAGCTTACAAACATCTGTTAACTCCAGTCCCAGGGATGTGATACCCTCTTCTGGTCTCTGTGAGCACAAGACACACATAGTGTACAGACAGACACACAGGCAAAATATCCATATACATAAAACAACGCCCCCCAAATGGGCTAGAGAAATGGCTCAGCAGGTAAGTACTTGCTGTGCAAACAGGAGGACTGGAGTTTAGATCCCTGGGACACACTAAAAAGCTGGGTACAGCATAACACATCTGTAATCTTAGCTTCAGGGACTTGGAGACAGGTGGATGCCTGAAGTTCACTGGCCAGCCAGCCTAATCAAATTGGTAAATTTCAGGTTTTATGAGAGACACTGTCTCAAAAAATAAGGTAGAGAACATTGGAGGAAAACCTCCATTGCTGACCTCTAGTCTCCACATGCATGTATATACATATGTACCTACAACAATACCAACATAAACAAGAGACAGACTCACCCACAAACAACAGCAATGAGAAAAAAAAAACACAAAAAGCAAACAAAAAAACCCAATAGGCCCAAAGAGATGGCTCAGCAAGTAAAGGAGTTTCTGTCAACCCTGGTGACCTTAATTGATCTCTGGGACTCACATGGAAAGAAATGACTTTTGCCAAGTTGTTCCTTGTCCTCCAAATGAACACACATGAACATGTATACATGCACACACACACACACACACACAAATACAAACATAAAATGCACTAAAAACAATTAAACCAAAACAACTTAGGTATCCAAAAATCCATGGGAAATAAATGTTTAGTATCCTGTCATAGAGCAGATGAAGAATATTCTGACAAATCTTGCTTTACTGTATTACCTAAATCTGTATTATTTATTTTGTCTGGTGGTAACATCTTTCTTCAGCAATGAATTTTAAAAAGAGTTTTTGAAAATGAAAAATGAGTAATCAAATTATAAGAATTGGGGTGATTATATAATTTGTACAAAATACTGATATTTACTATTCCATGTAGGCAAGACTGATGCCTTGCCAGGAAAGTCAAACAAAAGCAATCTGCTCAAATGCAGTCACTGAGCATACATTTTGGCAAATAATGCATTTATTTAACTCATTACTCCGTAGAACATGACTTTCCATTTAAACACAGTTAGTTCTACCTACCTTCTTGTGCAGAAGAAAAAGCAAGTCAAGGCTACACAGAGTAATCCTGTCTCGAAACACCCACCCCTCCCCCAAAAAGAAAAAGAATCGTTTACTAGACTTAAATTCCCACCAGGCAGACACGGCAATCCAATAATTAACCAGGAGATTTCCACTGAAGGACAAATTAGGAATCAGGTTGTAGGCAAGCCTTTGGGGAATTTTCTTAGTTGATGACGATGGTGAAGGGCTCAGCCCATTGTGAGTGTGGTACCAAATAACCCTTTCCTCCCCAACCTTAGGTAATGGTGTTTCATTCACAGCAATGATAACTAAGACACTACTACTCTTTACCTATTTTTAGTTTTGTTTAAAAATATATTTACATATATACAAACCCACAGGTGGGAGGTAATAAAATGTTAACAATAGTGAATGCCAAGCATTTTCAGTCAAAGGGGCATTACTGGATGGGTTTTATTTCATGAATTTGTTTCCTGTATTTCTGAAGCTTTCTGCAATGAACCTGTAGCACTAGGGGAAAATGTCACTTTAGGATACAGGAAAATTAATGTTTTAAAAAATACCTCATTGCTATCAAAGGAAACCAAGTGCACAATGTTTATACTCATTTTCATCTTCATTGTCAAAAGAAAGAAGACTACTGTTTCTTATCTGTTTTTGTGAGTTCTTTCTAACTAAATTCTGATTATTTATATCATCTTCATTTGTTTTCTTTCTTTTTTCTTGGAGCTTGCCTTTACCTCAACACTTTTCATCTGAGGGACATTTAACTGGTTTTCTATACACGATTCTCCCCTCAGCTGGAGGTGGTTCTTCATCTGCTTTGGCAGCCTTTATTTCTGCTTTGATTTTCATGACTTCTTCCGCTGCTAGGTCTCCCTTTTTTAAAACCACTACTTGATGCTGTTCATCTTCTTTGTCACTGTGATCACCATCATCATCTGGGAGCTGAGGCTGAACTTTCTTGGTCTCTATGGTGGGCCCCTCCCTGTAGCTGACTTGCTCCTTGAAGCGGGACAAGAAGGTAGGCTCGGCTGGCCACATGTACGACTCCTGGTTCCACTTGCTCATGGCGACCCTCCTACTCTTTATTTTTTAAAAACATTTTATTACATTTGTTTTGTGAGTGTATAATGTGTACGGATGCACACCTGCTACCGTATGTGCACACAGGTCAGAGGACAACTTACAGGAGTTAGTTCTCTCCTCCATGTGGGTGCTGGAGATCAAACTCAGGTCCTCAGGCATGGCAGCAGGTATCCTTGAGCTGCTAAATCACCCCGAAGTCCAAACATACTACTCCAAAGATAAGGTAAAATAGTTCCCCAAAGACAAAAACTAAGAGCTAAATAAAAGTCTGAAATAACCCTACCTGGGCTCGCTCCTCATCAAACTCCAGGCAACCCATACCATCCAATCTGTGGAGATCAATCCAGCCTTTCCAGATGACACATACTCCATTGAGAATCATGGGAGCTTTCAAGTACACCTAAAAAAAAAAAAAAAAAAACCATAAACAAAAGACTGTTGAAAAAAAATCAACGAAAAGCCATCAGACCTGAATTTTCTTCCCTTAGAGTTTTTTTTTTTAATGTATACAGATGCTTTGTCTACATGTACATCTAACACATCAGAAGAGGGCTTTGGATTCCACAGGATTATAGTTATAGGTGGTTGTGAGCTGCCACGTGTGTGCTGAAAATTGAACTCAGAACCTCTGGGAGAGCAGCCATAATGCTTTTTTTTTTTTTTTCGAGACAGGGTTTCTCTGTATTGTTTTGGAGGCTATCGGTCCAGCCCAGCCTCGAACTCACAGAGATCCGCCTGCCTCTGCCTCCCGAGTGCTGGGATTAAAGGCGTGAGCCACCAACGCCCGGCTCTTGACTACTTTAAAAAGAAAATTTCATAGATTTTGTGAAAGAACTGGGGAAATAGCTCATTTTCCCAGAATGTGCAAGGCTCCGAGTTTTCCCCCTTGTATCACATACTAGAGAGGGGGGTAGAGAATGCATAAAAACTGTAGGTAGCTTTTTTTTCCCCTGAGACAGGTCTCTCTGTGTAGCTCTGGTTGTTCTGGAACTCATTCTCTAGACCAGTCTGGCCTGGAAATCAAGAGATCCTCCTGCCTCTGCCTCCCTTGTGCTAGGATTTATAGGTGGGTGCCACTACTGCTCAGCTAATTTTTTTTTTTTAAGACAGTGTTCTCTGTCCTGGAACTCACTCTGTAGATCAGGTTGACTTTGATCTCACAGAGATCCACCTGCCTCTGCCTCCTAAGTCCAAGAATTAATTCTTTATTAGTGGGAATGTGAACTTCTAGTACAATAGAGATCTTATAACACACTAATATCCATATCTGCTTGTATGTTAGAATTCTCTGGGATGCTATAACATCTTAAGTCACTGAAAAATTTACAATATATAATACATATTGTCTCAAGTTTAAAAAAGTATCAATAAATTTTATTTAAAATTTGCTGAGTTCAAAACTATTCATCTTGGGGCTGGAGAGATGGCTCAGCAGTTAAGAGCACTGGCTGCTCATTCAGACTACCTGGGTTCAATTCCTAGGATCCACATGGCAGTTAACAATTATCTGTAACTCAAAGATCTAACACACTCTTACATGCAAATAAAATACCGGTGCATAAAAAAAACAACAACCTTTTCAGCTTATAAACCTTTAGTACTTTCAGAAAATTCCAACATCCTTCTATGCTAAGGTAACTTGAACTTTTACAGTTTCATATTTTCTTCTCTAAAGATAACCAATTGTCACCAAAAGTTTTCAAGTAAATAACACTAGAGCAAAAGTCGCTTTAGGTAGAATTTCCAAACTGAGATTTCCAATTACCACATTAATTCTCACAGTGACTGATTTTTCTCAAGGATAAGGATCCAAGTAGAAAGGGTGGTTGTAAATACTATTCAAGATACATATTTATCATAGTTCCTACAATCTTTTCTGCTCTAATGTCAAACTGCTATGGATCTCAGGATGGCTGAGATTACAGTCAAGAGTAACCATACCCATCCAGCCAGGCATGGTGGTACTTCCCAGAGGCCAACCTGGTCCACAAAGTGAGTTCCAGGACAGCTAGGGCTACACAGAAACCCCATTTCGAAAAACCAAAAATTAAGGAGGAAGGAGGGAACAGGAAAATGATGTGAGTACATTATAATCTCAAAAACGAAATAATTAAAATAAAAAATAAAGTTTTTTGAGACAGAACTTCATGTAGCCCAGGCTGGCCTTGAGCTGATCTTCCTACAACTACTATTCAAGTACTGGAATTATAGTCTTGTGTCCACTGTACCTGGCTATTTAAAACATTTTTTCCTTTATATCCTCTCTACCTCACTTAACATGGGCTTCTGAATGAAAATCAGCATAAATTTAAATCATTCAGTGCCTTGAATAAGATGTTTAAAATTCAGAAGTGGAACTTCACTGAATTTTCAAAACTCCAAATAATCAAACACATCCTTATAAGTGAGATTTTCATCTACATACGCAAAATATGTCAACACTGGACCAGTCTAGTGTTTTATGGAAAAAAATGACATTTTTATTACTTGTAAGACAGACTACTGGTAGTAGAGTTTCTCAATTTAAGAGAAAAGCTGGCACGCCTTTAATCCCAGCACTTGGGAGGCAGAGGCAGGCAGATCCCTGTGAGTTTGAGACCAAACTGGTCTACAGAGTGAGTTCCAGGACAGGAACTCTTTTTGGTTTTTCAAGAAACCCTGTTTTGAAAAACCAAAAAGAAAAGTTACTCCCCAGGTACCTGTAACATAAATCTATAGGATTTATGCCTTTATACTATATATGTATATTTTTCTCTTTACTATATTGAACCCATTTCTACTTATAAAAGTAAGAAGATTCTCCTAAAACATAAGGTTCTTTTTTTCTCCTCCCATTTGAGCAAGAAAACCAGTCTATAGTTATAGTTAAAACCGTTTAACCACATATTTCCTTTTGCTCTGATAAGTGTTCATTCGTTTCCACAATATAAATGTATTTATTTATTCATTTATCCTTTTTTGAGACAGAGTCTCATGAAATATAGTCTAGCCACTAACTTGATGTGTAGCTGAGTGGCCTTGAACTCCCTGGATCTCCCTCCCTGCTTTCATCTTCCTTGTGCTAGTAATCACACCTACTCACCACAAGGTCCAGCCACATTTACTCAGTCACTGTGTACCTTAGTCCAGTGACTATGCTGACCTCCCACTCAATACCCCAGAGAAACCAAAGAACATCGCCCCTCTGCATGCCACATCAAGAGAACGCCTCCAAAGATCTCGTTCCTTACAGCACTCAGCAGAGTGTAACGTTTTACTACTAAAGTCTCTATTATGCTAAATTCTGATACTAAGCATACATGATTTTTCTCCAATTAGCCAAGAAAAGGTTAACTTCATGCTACCTTTAAACCAGATTTGTGTTCTTCACAAAATGTTTATATCTTTTAGAACTGCAGATTCTATGATTCTTTTTAGCTTATTCATATTAACTAATATCCAGTCAAAAATAATTCCCTTATAAAATTCATTTTTAAAAACCAATCTTTTACTTCTTTATAAATCTTTCATGAAAAGGAGACCACCACTGATCTGTTTTGGGAAATTTCTAATGGCTTTAGAAAATGGATACATTCATTATAAAGAATAATGTCTGGACTCCTAATTTAAAGTAACATCTAGATGGTCCTGGTGATTTATTTAATGTTCACATTGAAATAAACAGTTTTATGTGTAATCTTCAAAGTAAATGCTTGGTGCTTTTATATATTCATGAATACCAAGCCTCAAAGTCTGAAGAAAATACACTGCTGTCTCTTAACAGCTGGTATTTTGTAATGTTAATTCAATAATGTCATTTAAACACAAAGACATTTATTTCACTGAAAATGATGCCTTGTTTCAAACTCTGAAAAGAAAGGTTATTGTATGTCCCAAAATGAAGCTCAATTGTCCTGGAAAAAATATGTTATAGAAATGGATTCCACAAAGTCTTAAAAAGTAGTAAATAGATGCAGCCAGTCACAGAAAGCAACAAAACAGCTTATCTTTCCAAAAGCTAAAAACTACTGAATGAGACTTCCCAGGTTTAAAAGTGACCATATAGCCTTTTTTTTTTTTTTTTTAAAAGAAAGGTAAAAGCTGGTTTGGCAGAATTCAACTCAAGATCTAAACATCAATATTTCTGATGTCATAAGGAATCTAAATAATATAAATAACTTTATTTTCAACCTACAGCTTCAATTTCCCTATCATTCAAGCCACAAAGAGGTTAAAAAATCATGCTTGTATCATCCAACGATATTATTAATACAAGGGTACATTATTTGGACATAAAAAGGAATGCATGCTGGACATGACGGCACAGCCTCTAATGTCAGCACTTAGAAGACTAAGTGGAAGGACCAGGCGCAAACTCGGGGTAAGTCTGCATTACACAGGAAGACCATCTCAAAACAAACAAAACCCTCACCACCACAGGCAACAAAACAAGAATTCAAACAAACACCAAAAAGTAAAAATAAAAATCAAGTATTGTGCTGGGCACGCCTTTAATCCCAGCACTTGGGAGGCAGAGGCAGGTGGATCTCTGTGAGTTCAAGGCCAGTCTGGTCTACAGAGCAAGTTCCAGGACAGCCTCCAAAACAATACTGAGAAACTCTGTCTTGAAAAACAAAACAAAACAAAAAATCAAGCATTGCTTCTACAACAGATGAACCCCTAAAACCGCTATATTAAGTGAAATAAATCAGGAAAAGTTCAAAATTATTAAATTAACCACAACAGACAAATTGAGAGGAGATAGGAAACACGAGGTTTCAGCTTTCTAAGACCTAAGCTGATATAATAAATATGGTGGCCACTAACAATACTATGGCTTTAAATCTCGAGGAAGGGAAGAGATGTCTTGAGGAATGAATAGGAAATGAGGACTGATGAAGAACTTGGAGAAAGTCCAACTTTTCAATTTGGATACAAGAAAACAAGGCAGAGCAGATTATGAATAGCCATTAAGCAAATGAGAACATGTATTATAATTATAGGCTAAAGTTCCCCTTTGTTGGCTATACTATGTTACAGAACCTTAGGTCTCTTATTTACAGCAACAGAGATTTTTGTCACAACTATCCTTCCTTTGATTTTTTTTCAGACAAGGTTTAAATACATAGCCCTGACTGGCTTGGTACTCACTACTTGCTAGCGGCTAGGCGCTAGTCTCAAACTCAAGTTTCCTGTCTCATTCTCTGGAGTTCAGTGACTATAGACCTCTACTACCATACCTTGACAATGGGAGATTTATGTCATATTACTGAGACTGGGACTCACTATATAGTACTGGCTGGCCTCTGAGATTTGCCTGCCTCCCAAGTTCAGGAACCAGAGTTCAGAAAACCTGTAAGGAGTTTTGAATTTATAGATGTATTTCAGTAAAACCAAAAACTAGTTGTTAATGGAGATCAA